TGACAGCTCAGCACCTTTCTTTGGATTCTTATTCATGAGCATATATCCTTTTCTACACTTGAGGCTCATTAGAATATAGAAATAAGATACACTAATGATGCAGCAGGGCTCCTAATATTCTTGGAGTTCTTATCATGTTACTCTATCCTGATAATGACTAATGAAATGAAAATGCTTATATTTCCTTCAGGTCCACAGCGGTTTTTTAAGTGCATATGATTCGGTCAGAACAAAGCTTATCTCACTTATCAAGCAAGCAGTTGGATATGTCTAAGTTCTCATAGTTATCTTGGTTATTTTCAGATTGCATTTAAATATTTGTTATCTTGGTTATTTTTTCTGGCTCCTTCAAGCGTATAATTCATCTTGAAGCATGTACTATTGAACTAGGCTCCATGTACTAATGGTTTAATGTGTCTTGTCTATATTCCTTGTAATTCTTTATATGTTTAGTGTATTAGACAACTAAAGTCTCTTCATTATTCCTGAGTGTCTATATATTTTGCTTGATTCTGAGATAACAAAGTCATGCAAACAAACTCATTTCAAATATGAGTATTTTATTTTTATGAACTATGGGTAAAATATTGTATCGTTATTATTAAAAGGCCAGCTTCTGTGGTAGTTGAGAGGAAGTCATCTTTTTTTTTAATGTATTGTGTTAGGCATTATATCTATTTAAGATATTTTAACTCTGCAGTTACCCAGGTACCCAATGGTAGGTTTTTGTTGTTGTCAACATTACTATGTAGACTACCTTTATAAAATCTGTCATATTGGAGGAGGCTACCACAGAACTATACTAATAACGCATTTGTAATCATATAATCTCAATTACAATTTGAATAATGGAAATTAACTCAACCAGGTTTCAATGAAATGAATGCAGAGATGATGACCTTGAACCCACTCCCAAGTGGCATGTTTATGTAATTGGTCATAGTTTGGGCGGTGCTTTAGCTACTCTCCTTGCTCTTGAATTATCAACAAGTCAACTGACGAAGTAATGTTGTCTTCTCTGAACTGATTGTTTTATATACATTCTGTCCTCTTCATGATGGTTGTTTGCTTGGGTGCATGTCAATTTCTGTTTAACCTCTTTTTGCTGGATAGACCACTGTGCTTCTTAAACATGATAACATGTGAATCTTTGTGTTAATGGAAAAGCTATATTATTTGAGATTAGCTAGTTTAATATTGGACATCCAGAAATTTTTTTGCCCGCTTTTATCATTACTCCTAACATCCCAAAATTATTGTCCTAGTTTGAATTTTTGGTCAACTATGACACTCTTTGAGCACAAATTAAATATAAGTTTAAATAAGTAAATGTAATAAAAATTTGATATATCAAAACCACATCTTTAAATGAATCCAATTATATTACATTTACAGTATAACTAAATATACTTCTTTTACAATTTATGGTCGGGGTTTGACCAAAAAAAGTCAAACTAGAACAATAATTCTGGGAGGGAGGGGGTATTATTTTGCATTCAGCTGAATTTTGAGGATCTTACTTTTAGTGTGTTTGATTGGAGTGGAGTGGACAGAAAGGAAGGTAAAGTGTTCCCCTTCCCTCATTTGATTCAAAAAATTGAAGGGGAGGGGAGTCAGCATTTTCTCATCTTTCCGTCCCATCCAACCAAACAAGGCACCTTTGAAATCTCAAGCCATTATTTCCCCACTCCCCTCCAACAAACAAAACAAGGTAAATCCACCCCCTTTCTCCTTTTCGTCTCTTTCTCTCCCCTCTCAAATCAAACACATCCTTAATGAAAAAAAATGTTCACATTTGAAATCCAAGTTTATGTTTTTCATTATCATTTTTTATTTAGTTGTCTCTGTGGGTGCGTGTAGGCATGGAGCCAGGGGCGGACCCAAGTTGGGTCACACGGGGTCAAGCGATCCCACGGAAATTATAAATTTTTTAGTATATATTTATATATATATACAATTTTTCTAGTGTATACCTAGATTTAGTTGATTGGGTTGGGCGGTCTTGAGTTCGAGACTAGCTGTAGGAATGAGTATATTTTATTTTTTGGAACAAATCTTCATCTTCCATTTCTACTTTGCCAGATTTTTTCTTTTACATTATTGAATCTAATTATCTAAATTGGATATTTCTTTTTTATTTGTAAATTATGAAAATTTTAATTTATTGTTATAAATTTGTAATTGTGAATAGAAGAATAGGGAATTGAATTCGTTTATTTTTTTAAGATTGTGAATATGATTAGGTTAAGTTTTAAGTTTATAATTTTTTTAATTATTTAAATTTCAATATAGGATGCAAAAGTATTTTAAAAAAACACCAAGATTTAAAAAGAAAGAATTGAGTGAGAATGTAAAGATGTACGGAGTATTTCACATTTGCAATGTAGAAGTATTTTTAGTTAGTATTTTCAATAACATATATAAACTTTAATGTTATGTATTATAGAATACTGTTTGTTTATTGTTAGAAGCGTGACGGCTGGATATAAATTTTCTAAATTACGACCCCACGGTTCAAATGTTCTGAGTCCGCCCTTGCATGGAGCTATCTCTGTGACTATGTATAATTTTGGATCTCCCAGAGTTGGGAACAAAAAATTTGCTGAACTGTATAACGCGGTGAAGTATCTTTCTGACTTTAATTGAATGTAAAGCAAATCTGTATCATCTCTTCTCACTTTTCAATGTGTAGTCTTTGTCATAAACAGTTTTAATGGAATTTTTAGGGGAAATACTGGAAGGAAAGTGGTCTGTTTACAGTTTACTCTTCTTCTGATCCGACGATTGCGTTTTTATAAGAAGCTAAAAACCTTTTCTCATAGTAAAATGCTAAAATTTCTATAATATGATTCTCCTCATTTTTGAGCTAGAACCAGACTTCAATTGTGTTGGAACACGGGTTTACGCCTACGTCGTACTAAGCTGTGTTCGTTTTATGACAGGTTTTGATAATGCCAAACCGCCGTGACATAACAAGGCTAAAGTGAGCAAAACCAAGGCGAAGGAACATGGCATGATGTTTTGAGAACCAAGAACCAAGAATCAAGAACGAAGAATTAGAATTGTATTGAGTCGGTCTTAATGTGATCCAACGTCACCATCGACGGGCTAAGAGGTAACCTCAAAACTTATGAATCTACCATTCTAACCCCGTCCTTGGATGAACAAAAGAAGAAAGGAATATCACTCAAAGCAACCAAGGAGACCGTAGAAGAAGTTTCAAGCGATGATGACAACGAATTTGGACTCATCATCAAGAAGTTCCACAAGTTCATGAAGAAGGAATTTGAGCAGAAGGGAAGGAAGCACGACGGACCTCCCAAGTGCTACGGCTGTGGCGAGATTGGCCACATCAAGCCAAGGTTTCCAAAAGCCAAACACGGCAATGACAAGCCCGGCTTCAAGAAGCAAAGGGCTTACATCTCTTGGGGTGGTGACTCCGGCGACGAGTCAACTGACCAAGAAGGGGAGGAAGCCGCCAACCTCTGCCTCATGGTGCACGAAGATCAAACCGATGACATTCAAGAGGTATGTACCATTTCTTCCGACTCTTATACTTTTGAAGAAATGCAAGCACTTCATGAACTTTATGAAGAATTTGTTAGCGCCTCTAAAACAAATAAATCTTTGAAGAAACGTCTTTCCTCACTTGAAAACGATTTTGAAAAACAGGAAAAAGAAAATGAAAAACTTAAACAAGAAAACAAATTTTTTGGAAAAAGAAGCGCTGACAAACCGGAAAGTTCCTCAAGTGAATGTGAGTCTTGTAAAGCTTTAAAAGATCAAGTCGCTAAACTTGAGAACACGGTCAAGAAATTTAATACTCCTCACAAAGACTTAAATTTACTTCTTGACACTATGCATTTTTCTAAGGAAGGAATAGGTTTCAATAAAAATAAAGCTAAAGATAATGTTGAGCCACCACCTAGACAATCATCTAAGGTTCAACATAAGAAACCTAAAAATCAAGATAATAGAAAACCTAGTCAGCCTAAGAACACTAGACAACCTAGACTAAAACCTAGGAATGAAAATGGTCATGGTAGATAACTTGAGAAAAATGATTTTGTGCATAAAAATGATTTTTTTCAAATAAGGAGAAATAATGCTAGAAAAGGCCAGTTTCAAAATTTTCAAAAACCATCGTTTTCACAAAATAGGAACAAAATGGTTAAACCCTCTAACTATTATGAACCTAGGCACATGTACAACCCCAACGTAGTTTGCCATTATTGTAATAGGATAGGCCATATTGCTCCCGTTTGTTACACTAGGCATAGGCACCTATCACAAAATCAAGCACACTACCATCACACACCTTACACCCGAGGACCCAACGTAAATTGGGTACCTAAAACTCATTGATGTGTTTCATAGGTGTGCTTGAAGGCATCAAGTGTACTTTGGTACCTTGATAGCGGATGCTCCAAGCACATGACCGGAGATGCATCCAAGTTCCTACAAATCAAACCCGCTAAAGGAGGAAACGTAGTTTTTGGAGAAAATAGCAAAGGAAAAATTATCGGCGTTGGTTCAGTAGGTACGTCCGAAGACTCCTCTATAGATAATGTCTTGCTTGTTAAAAGTCTTAAACACAATCTCTTGAGCATAAGTCAATTATGTGACAAGGGAAACCGTGTGACCTTTGATTCAAAATCATGCACAGTAGAACGCCTTAGTGACAATAAGGTCATTCTACGTGGTGATAGAATCGATAACATATATATGGTTAACTTAGACAAATCTCCTTCCGGCTTTGCTAAGTTCCTCTACTCATTTCTCCTTCTGTGAACCAATACCGTGGCTTCCCATCGAGTATACTTGTACTTGGAAAACTTGTTTAACCAAAGTGTTCTGAATCATTAACCGTAAGGTTTTGAATAGTTTGAAAAAGACACCATATGTGATGCATGTCAAAAGGGGAAGCAAGTTCGGGCTTCGTTTAAGTCTAAGAACGTTGTTTCAACGTTTAGACCGCTTCAACTTTTGCACATGGATCTCTTTGGTCCTTCTAGAACGAAAAGTTTTGGTGGCAATTACTTTGCGTTTGTGATTGTCGATGACTACTCTAGGTTTACATGGACCTTGTTTCTAACTCATAAAAGTGAGGCATTTCATGTTTTCAAAAGTTTTCTAAAGAAAGTTCAAAATGAAAAAGAAACAACCATAGTAGCCATAAGAAGCGACCATGGGGGAGAGTTCGAACGAAATCTATTCTCAGATTTATGTGACGAACTTGGCATTGATCATAACTTCTCAGCCCCACGTACACCACAACAGAATGGAGTGGTGGAACGCAAAAATAGATGTCTCGAAGAGATGGCTAGAACTATGATCAATGAGGCAAAAATCCCTAAGTATTTTTGGGCGGATGCCGTGAGTATCGCGAGCTACGTGTTAAACCGAGCCGTCATTCGACCGATACTCATGAAAACGCCTTATGAACTGTACAAAGGGAGAAAGCCAAACCTTTCCCATCTTCGAGTCTTTGGCTGCAAATGCTTTATTCATAACAATGGCAAAGACAATTTAGGCAAATTCGATGCCAAGTCAGATGAAGGAATTTTTCTGGGTTACTCATTACGTAGCAAGGCCTATAGAGTCTTCAATAAACGTACCTTGACTATCGAGGAGTCCCCCCACGTTGTATTTTCCGAAGATAATCCTCGCTTGGCGAGAAAGGATATTTGTGATGATCTTACAGATTCATTCACTACAAGAAAATTCCAGTTCTGCAACGGAAATCTGCCACGGAGACGTTTTTGTTGCAAATCTGCAACGACTCTGCGATGGATGTATAAATGTGGATAAACTGGCAGATATCTACGACGGTCATAGTCTTTCCGTCGCAACTTTGCGACAGACATAACCGAACCCTCGCAAATATGACGCGGGAGGAAAAAAAACTTTCACGGCCAAAATATCTGCTACGGAATTAAAAGTCCGTCGCAGATCTGCAACAGAATCTGCTACGGAATGTTTTCCGTCGCAGACATGAACTTAAAAAATCTTATCCTCTTCTCCCGATTCACAATCTCCACTCAACCAAAAAATCTTATCTTCTTCTCCCACAGACGTCAACCCAATCGTCGGTGAATTTCTCTCTTTTCACCGTCAACCGCTGCACCGCCTCCCAAATCGCCGGCGAACTTCAACCCCTTACCACCTCAAATCTAGCTTCGTTCGTCGCACACGCCAACCGTCCCCACTGCCGTCCCCAGTTCTCGTTTGCCGGTCATCCACCACACGCCCTTCGACAAGAAGGTATGTATTTATTCACACGAGATTCCGTCGCTAATTTGCTTTGGTATTTCTGGATTTTGTGTTGCTACTTATTCGGATTTGAATGATTTCTACTTGGTTTGCACTTGAACAAATTCCTTAAAATAATCTTGATTAGTCTTTCCCAAGTTACAAATTGAAACTATTGAAACCAAAATTTCAGAATTCAACCATGTAAACAAGCATCCAATGGGGCTGCTACCTCAAGAGTTACCTGCAAATATGAAAATTTGGATTTTTCACATGATTGTATGTAAAGGTTGATTTGAAGATAGAAGGGAATTTTCTTTTTTACTATATAAAGAATAAGATCAAAATATAGATGAAAAGAAATTATCAATTGTAATCAAAATTGACTTTAACAGGATGACAATTTCAAAAAGCTTCGTTGGAAACAATATACATTGCACTTGAGCATAGACAGTGAATTTTAGTATACTCAGTTTAGTGTGTTGCCAATTCATTTATAATATGTGAAAATATAGATACATTAACAAGGGAGGACCGAACTACAGTCCCTGCCGAGGAAAAGCGACACGCAAAAGGTTTGAAAACGATGACGAGGAAGAACTAATCTTAAGCTCTGATGACTCAGAAGAAGAACTAAAACACTCAACGGAGAGCGAGTGCTCTGAATGATGAGTAAACACAATTTGAAATGCTCCATATAATGTTTTCATCATATATCATTTGTCAAACACCGTTTTCATCATATATTGCTTCTTAAACATTAGTATTACTTTTGTTATATGAACTAACCATTTATTTACTTTATACAGATGAGTAACAATGAGAACCCCCCTCTTCCCACGCCAACTGATACAGAGGTCCTGGAATGCTTGAGGAGGAGCGTCCTTGGTAGGTGGAGGTCCTCTTCTCGTGAGGTATCAAGCCACACAAATCCGTCTATAGGCACTCCCTCGATTGACTCGCAGCGGTCCCCCTCCACCCCACGTACTATTGGATCTGGGCCTTGTACTTCAGGTACTTTTGTTGACATTTATTGAAAATAACTTTAAATTAGCTTAATGTTAATGCTTTAATGATAACAAAAAAAATTAT